TTTCCACCCGTTTTCATCAAAGTAACTGAGGCAGCAATATTTCAGACCCATCAGATCTTTTAAACATTTTCATTGTTGGCTTAAATATCTAACATATTCCAACAATTCAGGATAGGTGACGATAGATGAGTGAATTTACTGAAAAACGGGACAAAGTCATGGGATCGAAGGAACAACAAGGAACAACAAACAGGTATGTTGGAAGGTAAGAAAACTGTGAGCGAACATGGAAATTTTTAGCCATGTTCAAAATTATTCCCCCTCCCCCTTAATAGCTCCTTCTAGCCATCATATCAACACAACAATATGGATGGCGAGAATGGCAACAAGACGCCAGTGAGTGTTACATGGTCAGATTGGCGGTGCTGAAAAAGTTGGTGATTCTTCAGTGAATACGGTCATCGATTGGATTTGTATGAAACGCACCAGTGCATCACAACAAATCTCAAAAGGTTAGCTTTTTTTAAATTGCAAATTTCAGAATTTCAAATTTAACTTCTTCTAGTCATTTGTCCTCAGTGATGTCATCGTAGAGTTTTCGTGATACCAGCCAGATAAAATTCATCTACTTGTTCTTATCATTGTAGGAAGGTAGTCATGCGAATGATTGAAAACATTTTAGGTTATCAATTTCAATCCGCTAATTACATTTTATCTGAATAAATTCGACTTCTTCTTAAGAGTGATTTCGAATGTTTTATTATTTCGCCGGAACAACCGTTTGAAATTGGTTAGGCATTTCAGAAAGGGACGCTGCTTATTGTTAGTGCAGAGGCATGTTGCAGTTAAGTTCATATGTCGCATTTCAGCAATAACAGCAATGGATGGTCGATTTTCGGGTGGAAGATTGACGGTGAACGTTGGATATTCGAATGGGTGAAAGATTTGGTTGGTTGGAATATTCCAAGTGGATTCGATTCGTCCGTCCAATTAATCGGCAATCACTGGTTTGAAGTCTAGTTTGCACGTTTTGTTTTTGCGTCGTTTTATATCATCTGCTTTCAGCAAACCTTTTCTTCAAGGAGTTTGATGAAA